TGCCAGATTGTGTACCTAGGTCACAACAAATTAGTTCAGCTCACTGACTGGGTGACGAAAATTTTATTAAGGGAAAAAAATCTTAGGATTTCAAGATGCCAAGTGAAGTCTACGTCAGGTAAAGATTAAATGAGACGTGCTTGATCTAATTTGCTTTAAATTTTATGTAAAAGAGTGAAAAATGCCATCTTCTTGACTTTGGATTGGCATTCAAAAAAACTTCACAAATGTTTTCTTGTTTTTTCTCAGTATTGATCCAATTCCACAATTAAAGACATGGGGTCTATTTGTTATTTAACAAGTTTTATCTCTGTAATAGCATCCCTCTGTTCAAGGCAAGATAATGGCACTATTTCCATCACTTCAGTTAAGGCTGTGTCAATATTTTCATTAGAAGCCTGCATTTTATGGACTAAAACTGTGCCACAGCCAAGGAAATTCACATAAGACAGCAACATCTGAAATCCAGTGGAAAAGAAAGAAAGAAAGTGTGCTTATTCCTAAGCTTTGAGGAGAGAAGTTAATGATCCTGAGGCCTTTTTGTGTGTATCCTTCAAACCCAGCTCCCCTTCCACAGCTCCTGGCATTTTGTAGCTTAGCACTCCATGTGCCTCGCTGATGATATGTTAGCTGTGAGTGGAAGGTTGTAGAAACTGAATTAATTTAATTTAAGAAACTAGCTACTATATACGCTCAAGTTCTGATTGCAGTTAGGAATCTTTTCTTTTTCGTGTTTAAGGAAAATGTATTTGTACAGGTTTTCGCTGTGGATTGACATACTGTAGGTTTCTCAAAGTAGCTGTATAAAAGTTGTTCTCTGCCATGTTAGCATTCTCCGATGAATACAATGGGCTGTAAATCTTGTGAATTTATGTATTTGCTTAGTGATTCAGGTTTTAAATTAGAACACAATCTTCAAGACAGTGTACAAACTTGGGATAGAGAAGCTGTAGAAATAGGAACAGTCCTCTGTGCCTCAAACTGGCAAAATTTCCTTTGATTTCAGCATTTGATTTAAGAACCGATCACAGCATGTGTGGTTTGAGGATTATTATAGTTAAGATTGTGGAATCGTATTGTGTGTGAAGAAGAAAAGTTGTCTTTCTGGGTTGTATTTGTTACTCTAAAAATCTCCGTAATATTGTATCCTTCTTTAAATTAACGTGTAGGTCAGGGTCACAAATTTTATAGTGATGTTCACATTTCAGTTTTTGAAATTAATTTTGTATGCTAAGAAAGAAAACATAACAGAAAACCACAAAACTTGTATATATTTATCCCCTATCTTATAGAAAGTTCATATCAATTCATAGGAAAATATAGAGAAAGAAAACAGAGTTGCTTAGCAGATACAGCAATCTGTTTAGAGAAAAATTTACAAATGTGTTGTAAATAAATGAAAATACAGTCCATTTGACTTGCATGAGAAGGAACACTTAAGTACAGTGGATTTAATGATCGCTTTGATGCTAATGGAAAATTCAGTCCTTGAAATGTTTAAATGTAGGTTATAAAAGTGCTGCTGTTTCTCCAAGCCTCAGTCATGTACATATTTTTTTATTCAATCCCGCTCTTTTGGTGAGAGGTGAAGAGTGGGAACACTAACATTTATCTTAACAAAGTCCTTCCCTAACTAAATTCTGAGTGAGCAGAAAAATGAGTAGGACTACATGAGTATTATTTGTCTGTTCTCTGAGGAACGGGGTATCCTATATATGTCATTTTGGGAGATCAGCCAAAAAGAAGATGCCAGAACTCCAAACAGTCAGGGCTTTGCAACAATATAATAAAATATAACAACAGGATAAAAAAACACCCAGTGAGGAAAACAAAGTCCTGAACTTGTAGGTGATATAATCAGATCTTTGAAAACCCCAGTGTGTTTAGTGGAGGATTTATTCTTTGACTGCTGGACCAACCCCAGTTAACTCTTCTGTTACACTCATCAATATTTATGGAGAGCTGCCAACGCACACAGTCTTATACAAAATACAGGACAAGACATAGTCTCTGTCTTGTCATATCTTTCAAGAAAGAAAGAGATGGAAATTCTGGTATAAATTCCAGGATAAAGAGCAGGTGTTTATAATTTTAACTTCAGGAGAAATAAATGCAGTCTTGTTTTTCTACCTGGTTGCTTGACAGAATTATAATTGCAGTTCCCTTGATGATTATGTTTTAAATTTGTTTTTGAAAGTGAGGTATTTGCAATTCTGACAGGCAGACTTTTATCAAAATTAGCATATAAGTTTCAATTTTTTTTCTTTAATATAAAATTATTTGTCCTTGTCTATTTTTTTACTTCTTAATCTTATTCACCCTTTTCAATCTTATGCTTAATAATTCCTATCCAACATCTCAGCTATATATTTCTTGTTTTAATATATATGCCTTAAATGATTATAACTGGCTACAATGATATACAAAAGTTTCAATTTAAAATATCATGATGATTAATAAAGCTTTATAATTACACCTTATGTAATTAATGGTGTGCAAGTATGAACATGGTGAATACTATTTCCAGAGCAGATTAATTTGATGCAAGTTGACTGAGGCTTCAAATCTAAAACCAGTTGAGTTATTACTGTGCTGCATCAGCATTTATTGATTTTAAGGTACAGTGTTAGCATTCACTTATCACTGCATATTTTTCCCCATTGTACATTAAAAGAGCTTGCCCTCATCTGTCACGATCTTATACTGCATAAATCATGTAAAATGGTTACCTGTTTCCATGATTTATTTCATTTTTATGTTAATTATACTGAAACATAGGATTGTTTAATAAAAATGTTGAAGCTAATCTATATTGGTCATCAATATTTCTTATGCATGTTACACGGTGGAATGTGTGATAAACCACAATATCCAACATGTATGGAAGGGCATTTAAAGTGAATTAGGATTTAGACTCACTTAGAGCTGAGACACGTTTTAATTTTATAGAAGCCAAACAAAACCTGGTATTTACACAGTATTTTTTTATAAGTTAATGGTGTCTATTAATCATAATCACTAGAAAAATAAAGCATCTCCCCCCCAGTTTTCACAGTTTAGAAACGTAAGATATGCTTTAGCTTCTCGAAGTGACTTTCTTAAGGCAACACTGGCCTCCCAATAAAATGAGACAAATATTAGAAACTTCCCAGCCAAGGTAAGGCACTCAGTGGAAACTTCGCTCTTCCAGAGAGGGTTTTTGTCTGGGGAAGCGCAGCAGGATCAGGCTAGGACATATCTGACACTGAGCCTTCAAAGACTTCTACTCATGCACTGCAAGAAGTCTCCATGAAATCAAAGGCTAAGTCCCATGTAAATAGTCCTCAGGGCCACTGATGAAATGGTCTGCGACATATTTACTGAGGGTATTTCTCAGGACACACAAGGAAAATTTTTGCAGGATCAGGGCCTTGACTAATGGTTAGGAGATCAGAGCATTCCCTATTTTCCTTTATAACATTGGCATTTTAAATTCAGCTGACTCCAGATACTCTGGGTAAATTGAGGCATACAACAATAACTTAAAAGTAATACATGGATAATATGTAACTCTTTCTTAAGGATGAGGAACACATTTTCAAAAAAAACAGAAATTTCAATTTTTTCTAGTCTGCTCTTTCATAAGCAAGAGCAACAAGCAAATATATTTAGAGCTGTGGACATATGTTACCCTTAATGAAAAAGATCTCAGAATTGAACACCTCCTGATCAGCCAAATAATTAATGAAAAATAATTTTATTATTACGACAACTAAACTCTAGGGTGTCATTTTCCTAGAAATTTGAGTTGTTGAGGATTTTAGTGTTTGGAAACATTTTTAATCCTGCAGCATGTATTAATGACCTGGTAGACAAAAAAGGTACAGAATGTGTGTGATAATCTGAAGGTATTTTGGAACATGTGCCGTTATTTTAAAAGTTTCCACAGAAAGCATTATCCTGGAAAGCAAGAGTTCATCAGATTTTGTACCAGCTTATTGAGAAACTTCACGTTTTCAGTTAAATCTCTTGCTATTCAGATCAAATAAGAAGGGAGGTTTTTTTAGCTAGCTTTATGAGTCCTGCAGCATTTAAAATACTTACAAAAATAGTAAATACATTTCATGAATTATTTGCAGCTTTCTTAATGAGATTTAAGTTGCCTTCTATTAAAGAAATCCGTAACTGCTTTTTCAACCACAACGTAACTGGTAAGCATGTTTATTATACTCAGAAGCCAATATAATTTAGTTTTATCAGGTTTTGTGTCTGAATTGATATAATTTTCAAAAGCATTCTTTGCTTGCATGTTTCTGGTGTTTAATACTCTACTTGTTATTTAATTTATTTATGACACAGAAAATAAGAACCATTGCAGACTCTGAGCACCATGGCAGTATAATAAAACCCAGTCTGTGGTTATTAAATAGAAATAACAAAGAAACAGCAACAGATTATTTAAAACCCAGACATCCAGCTGAAAAGATAATAAAACTCTGACTCCTACCAACAGAAAAAAAAAAAACCTAAACAACCTAAGAAATCTTTTTTTTCCTTTTTTTTTTTTTTTTTGGAAATGGCTTAACTTTTCCCTTTCATAACATTCTAGGCTTTAAAATATTAACAACTGATGTTTGTTCATGTCTGAGCTTTAAGCAAAACAGTGAGGGAAATAACCAAGCAATAGGCATAAGTGTTTGATTTTTTGAGATTTTAAAAAAAAAAGTTAGTTGGCCTAAGGCTAGAATTTTCATTACATCAATGAAAGAAAGAAAACAGAAGCCAGCAGAGGGGAGTTATAGAAACTGACTTTATATAAACAGTAAGAAAAATCTTTTTCCATGGCCACCTACAATGTAGCTACTTTACCATCAGTACTTTTCTTTTACTAGTGGCACAGCAGCCCGGGCCCAATCCTGCCGTTTTAGAACAGGTTACGATCCGGCCGAGAGGTCTGCCCCTTGCAAGATCAGCCTAACAGTTTGTCAAAGAGAGCAGAAATAAAAAATTTTTCCACGTACCTAAATTGACAAAGCTCATGACCATGTCAGCATCATTCAGAAAGTTGGTGTCGTGCAGGCTGGCTAAGGGAGGATTCTGTGTGGTCAGGGGGGTCATGCGAGATAATTGTATTCTCCGTGAATATCCATTTGGAGAGGCAGGGTATCCTTTCCGTATCCCTCTGCTCTCCCCTGCCATTGATCCCTTTAGTGAATACTCCAGCTCCTCAGTATCCTCTTCATTTGTCATGGCATTATACAGGTCCAGCATGAAGAGGGGTGCAGAAGAAGCCTGCTTTCCTGGTGAAAATGGTCTGGGTCTGTGAGGTAAACCCAGGATAGAGAGAATCTCTCTCTGAATCTCCCTTCTCTCATGGTTCCGCAGCCTCCTGTAAATAAAACTCGAATGGACATGATTGTCTCCTAAACCTCCCTGTGCGTGACCCACCAGAACCCAGCAATTCCAGAGCAAGCCCACGAAAGCTTTGAGCACAGTTAGGTTCATCTTTGAAAAGAAAAAGAACAAGGAAAAAAAAAAATTTAAAAAATCTTTTCTCCTACTTGTTCTGAGTTCCTATGAGGTCTGCTTTCCCAGTGGCTGAAAAACAAAATTTACCTATTCTTCATGTCAATGTCATCTCTAAATGTAACATCTTTGGTGATTTCTCTCCCCCCACCCTGTTTAAATATTATGGAATGTGTCAGGTTGCAGTTATTTCTAAGAAAGCTGAAATTCAGACTTCCAATTTTCCACTGTTGTTATCGTTTTTTCTGCATTTATGGAGCAGAAGACCAGTATTTTGTCAGCTGACCTAGGCATTCCTATATAAACCTTAGATAACCAGGTCTTTGGTGGGGAGCTGTATTAGCAAGAGCTGTTCTTCTGACACATTGTAGTTCCCAGAGTTATCTTCCCTCGTTATTCTGAGTTCTTCGTACACCTTGCGCTCTTCCCAAGATAAAATCCTGAGTCACAGATTTGTCTTGATCTGTACCTTGGTGGTGTAACACATATTTGTCCAGCAGCCTGGTGATAACTTTAACATCTTTTGAATCGCTTGAGTGTAAAGTAATTCTAAAGCATGTACTAATCAAATTAATGTGTTGCCATGAATTTACTCGCAAAAAAAAACCTTCTGTAAATCCATTCAACCCTTTTCAGCTTCTGAACTGTTATTTCCAACTCTAGCAGGCACAAATATAACAGCTCTCTTCAAGAGAGATCTAAAGACTAATGTAAGCACAACCCTGCTGGGAAAGAAGAGGCTTCTCATTGTAATTTGAAACGGGTATAGCAAAAAAGTCCTTAACCCTTCTCTTGCCAGACAGAGCTTTAAAACTCTCCCCCCCAATTTACAGTAATATACCTAATTTTGGCTATCAGCTGGCTTTTCCCTAACAGCTTGCAGAATCAATTTTAACTTTAACAATTTTAGGATATATAGATAGCTAAAGGCATGGTGTAATGTGGAAGCTCTTGTGAGTCTCCCTATGAATCTCTAGTCTAGTAAACTTGAATAGGAAACTCTCAGAACAGACTAAAATAGCATCTCATTAATTCAAGAAATGTTTATATTTTAGGTAAGTTTAGCAAACAAAGACGACCTTTTTAATAAACTCTGTAGGAAATTTTGTCAGTGAGGCTTGATTCACTCTTTTCTAAAAATGTCGGGAATGCAATCTGACTGAAAACAAATTTATTCAGCGAGATTTCAAGTTGTGCATAGCCAATGGTGTAATTATGGTTATAGTCACAACTTTCATAAACTGTAATTTGCAATGATAATTTATTCAAAGTACACTTTGACTCATACATCGTTATACCACTTTTCCCAGTAAATATCGAAAGCTAAGATTTAATCCCACAACCTATTATTAACTGGAGAAAGAAACAGCTTAACTGAAGAAATAAGAAATATTAAATGGATTTTAAAGCTGCTCCCCATGAAGTTAAGGTTTGGCTTAAAATTGTATGACAGCCAGCAACTGGTGTTTTCCTCTCGCTAAGACAAAATCGCAGTGTTAAATTTCATACTGCTCAGGCTATTGGTGGTCATTTTCCCCACTCCTATAATTTGCCTTCAGTCCTGAGGAGACTTTCCTTTGATGAAGGGGAGAAAAAAAGGACAAAAAAGGTTAACACATGAAACTGAGGAAAAAAAACAGGTATATAAAATGCATCCCATCGGCTTTTCTCTTACATGACTAGCACCTACTCAGCAAATCACACAGTTCTTGAGTAAACTTGAGTGTGTGACAGCAAGTATAGTCACACCCTAAGAAGCCAGGAACAATTTATCTAGTATATTAAGCACAAATGAGCTTTTCTCATATAGTGTGAGTCCTAGTCTATATTTACAGTCTAGTCCAGCTATCATTAAAATATAGCTGATTCTTTCTCATAAATCAGCCCATGTAGTAGACAATGCTTCTACCAAGGAAGGATTTATCTCATACTAGACCTGCTGAATTAACACTAAAATTAATTATGAAGCTATTTAGCAAAAGTCCTGTTCCCAGCAGAAGAGCAGTCAGAATCAATATATGCTTTCTTTCCTCATTGGGGTTTTCCCTCAAAATCCATTTGTTATAAGAAAAGTATTATTTCCTGTTTTTCTTTTGCTTTCACTTGTCCCTCTCAGGCAGTTGTAATGATACATGAGACTTTACCATATATATATCTTTTTTGAATTTGGCCATCACGTATCCTGCAACAAGGTTTATTTCTCTTTTCCAGCAATATATTTCCTTTTTTTCCCTAAGCATTCATAAAAGCCAGTGGATTGATTGCTCAGAGGATTTAAGTCCTCAGCCTATCAATACGTCCAGCAATAGAAATTTCCTATATTATCCCACTAGAGTGTCTGAAGTCTTTTCCCACTCAGAGAGCCAAAAATGCCCTCAAGTTTGAGGATGCTTTTATGTTGTAAACATTTTTCCAGACAGAAACTGAGTAAGAAAACATATAACTCAGTAATCATATGTTCGTTGAAAACAGCTCCTGTTATTTTCAGACGGAGCCACAACCAAACATGTAACCTAGATACAAAAGACTTATATTACATTAACCTACCCTACACTGAGGCACCAAACATCCTTGACTAGAACATCTAAATAAAAATTAAAATTATTTTTATTAATATAAACACAATGTCCTTTTGTAATTAACCTGTGTCCCATAAACAACCATTGTTAACATGGATATCTTACACATGGGAGATACAGCCCTCTCTAAAAAGGAAAACCTTTGCTGAAGAAATGAAAGGGCTCTGTTAGAGCTGATAGGTGCCATTTCATGTTTCTAATATGAATCAATTTACTTCTAAAGAAAAAATACCACATACAATTTCAGCATGTCAAAATATTTTATTTGATAATACATAAAATTAGATTGGCACAGATATCTGGATGTAGTTTAGTTTAGGGCTCAGTTTCAAAGTCACCTTTGGTCTAGGTTTCAAGTTTTACAACAAAAAATTATTTCGAGCTGTTTGCATAATATTGAAACTTAAAAGAAATGCCATGTTCACACCATTTTTAGATGCACTCAAATCTAAATAACAGTTGAGGTCAGTGTAAAGTATTGACCCCAAATCAAAACCAGGGATTTGAACACGATGCCCCAGAGATTCCAGTTTTACCTTCTGTCTAAAACTGAAATTTTGAAATATAAAACCTACACACAGAGAGACTTTCTTTCTTCCCCAGATGCTCAACCTGGATGCAACATAAGAAATCACCTGACCAGCCCTTATCCAGTCCTTTAAAAAAAAAGGGAAAGCTAAAATGACTCCGAAAGTGAGCTCCCAGTAGGGAGAGATATCTGATAGAGGAGGATGTAACCAGCAGAGCACCTGGAGAACCGGGTCTCAGAGGCAGGAGAGCAGCAGAGCACTGTGCAGGCACCCCTGGCCACGCGACATCGGAAGCAGTTGCGTAACTTAGTTAAACAACGTGGCATATATGTACATGATGAGTGAATTCAGAGCTCATTATGTTTGTACTAACCTAAACAATGTTAGAGCAAATATCATAAGGGAAGTAATGAAACCCGGGAATCCAGCTCTCACCAATCTTGGATTCCAATGGATCGTAACACTGCAACGGTGAAAAAATTTATAGCTACCCAGCAGGTCACTGCAATCATTGAGGGTGCAATTATTTTTATGGGCAATGACCACTACTCAAAAATATATAAAATCAGTGGAGGGCTACTGAATGCAGAGTCCCTCCGGGTTCCCAATATCACATCAACTGAGAGTTATTTCCCACAGCAGTGGTTCTCTCTAACTGTTTGACAAAATAGACTAAAATGCAGACCCTCTCCAAGATATTTGCAGTCTAAATCTGAAACCTACACATGCATGCTGAATGATTCTACTGGCTCTTTGACCAGCTAAATTTGGCATTCAGATCAATATTGTGCATAAACAGATGATCCAGCATTAAAAATGTGTAAGCCTGTCCTTGTTATCTCTCTGCAAGGCTATTGCTGCAAAAGGTACATGGAGCAAGACTTTTATGAAAAGGTTTCATGAAAGCAGGAAAATCATTAGAGGTTAAAACTACAGATTCCCCAGCAAAAAGAAAGCAAGTCATCTGGACTGTTCCTGGGACAGAAACATTACACAGACAGCACAGTTAGGCATACCTGTTATACTACCTGTATCCAAGTTGGATTTACAATGAAATGGACTGCATGAGACATACATATGAGCCTTTGGATGTAAGTATGCATATGTTCATATGTCCAAATGTCCAGTCAACAAAACATGTATGACATCTTTCACTCAGGTTTTTTTATTTATTTTATTGAGTTGGATGTGGTATGACAGTTTTATTCTTACCCTGCAAACACAAGAAAGGAACACAAACATATTTTTCTGTATCAATGAAAGATATGTCTCGTAATGCAAAGGGAATTCCATTTGTAATGGACACAGTGTGAAAACTGGTAGAATTAACTGCAGAAATTGGCAGTTGAGGCATAAATTGAGTATGATATTTGTAAATGTTGCATAGCGATATAAACCCCTTTTATTCCAAATAATCTCAGAGTGTTTGCTAATTGATAGACAGGAATCATTTCAGATGCAGGAACACTACCATTTTTGGAACAGAAAATTCATTCAATATTATTACTTCATTTAACTTCATATCAGAACGGAAAGATAGCTGTCCTGAACCACAAAGGTAGCTGTGCTCCTCAACCACAGGGGAATTCTAGGATAATCGCTGGGGTTTTACCCGACATCTATATGCTTTACATGTATTCCTGGGGATCGTTAAGTGTTATATAGAGAGAGTACTTCCATTTTATGCTGCAGGGAGAGGAATGCATTGCAAAATAATACTTGCTATGTGGAAGTGTTCAATACTTAGATTATAGTGTTATTTATTCAGTTACCAACCAGTTTCCTGTAGCAGAAGAGTTTTTCATCCAGGATTTCAAAAACTCAGGCAAAATTACGAATCAGCCTAGGAGGTAAGTCATCAAGCATTTTATAGATGGCATTTAATAGAACACTTTGTTTAAAATTTACAGAAAGACCTCCAGCTTTAAGTATAATCATCTGCGAAGTTTGTTCTATTCAT